ATGTACCCGGGGAGGCTACAGCTCCTGGTGGCACCAGGACATTAGTCTGCACGAGACTGCAGGAACAGGTACACTTTGACACAAATGACATTGCTAACATTTTAACAAAACATAATGGAAAGTAACTCCTGTGCATGAAATGCAGACACTTTTAGAACCCCCTTCTGAAATGACTTTAATTTCAATCGTAGACTTTAAATACCCTTCAGTAGCATTTGAATTGACTTATCAGCAACTTGGTTAGGTTTATTTTGTGCAAGACTCGGAGATAAATGCTGTGAAAAATGTAGACAGGAAAATTCGTGGGAGTTTTTTATTCCTTTGACAAAAAAAAAAAGTCAGAAAGACAGGAACCTGCACTAATTTGGCAAATATCTTGCACAGAATTATTTTTAAAATTGCATTTGACTCAGGAAACAGTTTGATGGGGAAACTGAAAACACACACAGGGCTTTTTTGTGCTCAAGTGAGGCAGGAGCATTTTAAATCCCAGCGAGTCTCCATGTTACTAAAGCATTTAACAACACATGACTAGCAGCAAAACCCATATGCAGAGACATTCAGAACCCAGCTGTTATCTTGGGCATCTAAATACATTGATCAGCTGTAGGCACAGATATCAAGAAGCACATACGGACATGGCATCTTTATTCTCATTGCTACACAAGACTATCACAAGCTGCACAGGTGCCTTTATTTATGTTATGGTAGAGAAATAGCTTTGGTTGGTGCGATACATCTGCTGTTACAGACTCGGAAATAGGCCTGCTAACATAACTGTGCTATCTCGTGTTAGCAAATATGATCAATCCAAGTGAAAACTCCAAATCCTTTGGAGGAAAGGGCCATTTATTTGTTCTTTTGTATAGTGCAGGAGATCTCAGTTCATAACTGAAGTTTCTGGGTACAACAGCAACACATGGAAAAAACACTTTTGCTGTCTACAAGACTCCAGTCTGGATATATCCGGGATAACACTATTATGCTTGCCACCAGCAATTACAAAATTTCAGCAAAGTGCTTGAATAAGGAGCACAACGCTGCACACCCTTCGCAGATGGCTGGGGAGAGAGAGTGCCTTCAGACTCCTGGCTGGCTGAGTTGCTGTTTACCTATGCTAAATATTCAGATATATTGAACATCCTCTTAAGGGCTTTACGAAGGAGTTTCAGAAGGTTAAAAATCCTGCTTCGTGTCCCTAGTGACCTGCAAAAGAAAAGCAGGATGAACTCATTCTGCCTACCCACACTCACCCACATTTCTCAGGGCCAGCAGTAACAACTCAAAGCAGCACATCTTCTGATTAATGGTTGTGCTAAATTATTGCAGAAAAGGTATAAAGGTCTCTGATAGCAAGAGGTGTAAGTTGCATGCTGCAGACCTTCCTGATGTGTTTAAATCACACGTAGCTGCTCTACTTGAACCCAGTTATGCTAGGCTGCACTTCACACAAAATGCTGTGATACCTTTAATTGGGCTAGTAAGTGCAACTGATTGTAAATAATTATAGTGTGGTCCTCAGAGATGATCATTAGTAGCCACAGGCACGGAGACACAACTGGCCACATTCATCACAGTACCTAATTCTGCTGTTCACAGGTATTTAACAGGGATGCATTTGGTTCAGCTGTATCTTCAGCATTTGGGGGTGGGGTACATAACAGGCTTCCAATTCCTCACATATCTTTTAATACTACACTCTATTGATGTGTTGGCCATCTGACTATGCAATTAAAGCATCACTGAAAGAATTCTCCCTCTAATAAAAAAATTTCTCATGAACACAAGATTGACAGTATGCTAGAAAAACCCCAAGTCACGTGTACACTGCACGGTGACACAGGGTTTTAAGTACTTGCTAATTCCAGGCCAGTGGTGAAATCCCCTTGCGTATTCTTAGTTACACAGAAGTATATCCTGAGTTCTGGGCCAATTTTGTACATCTGTTTTAGTGATTTTTTTTAATTAATACATAATTTTTAGAAGTAACTTTCTCATCCTAAGATACCAAGGTAAAGTAATAAGTAAAACATCCTCCATTTTTACCGCTTCTTTTACTGGAGTAATTTATCTCCTGCTATTCATAAAATTACTCCATTAGCATGTTTAAAGAGTGCAAGGAGAAGATCTTTTAATCATGGAGATAACTGTTTATGATAGTTGTCTGTCGTTAATCAGTTTGCAAGTCTTACACTCTCTGCTGAGGATGCCCAGAGAAGATTCTTACACACACAGATCTTTTACACGTGGACAAGCTGGATTTTGCACATAGGCATACCACTACCACCTGAATGAAAATAAAATGCCCCAAATATTCAAGTTGCATTTAAAATGGAGTTGTTCTGGTAAGTAACATTCTTTATCCCAATTCCAAGCAGCTGGAACACGTTATCAGGAGATTGCAAAACCCAATTCAGGCATTTGATTTACTTTCAGAGCAGCATTTGCCAAAGTACTGTTGTACCTTAGCACAGAATGCTCCTTAGTACAAAACATACCTAGCTGGAAGTGCCCCTCACCAAATGGGTCACACGATATCATTACGCCAAAAACTGTATTATTTGTGTTTTAGATGATGTTAAAAAAACTAAGAACTGAACAGAGTCCTGTTCAGATTTATAACTAACTTGAATTTACTGTAAAAAATGGACTGTAGTGTGTATTCATCTATTTTTGATCTGATTTCCTAAAGGAATAAGGTTTGCAGGGCCAACTGTCAATTTCTTCCCCCTCTTCCTCCCAAATACATGACTGGACTCCTTTGCCCATTTACAAACTCCAAGAACAAGAAAGCTTTTAAATACCACTAAAACTCTGTAAATATACAGAGATCTGGGGCTACAGAGAGAGGACACTTATCCCAAGCCATTGTGCATAGGGAGGGAAAGGAGGGAAATTCAGCAGTTACATTTCTGTTTGGCAGCAGTTGTTCAGCCAAACCAACAAGTGTACAGCTCCTGAGGAGCAGCAGCCCGTGCTGTCGCTTGCACGCCAGGGTGCATGGAAATCTGGCGGAAGGAAGGATTTGGGTAACGAAGTATAACTCCTGAGCAAACCGGGCTTCATCAGTTCTGCTTCTTGTGCTATGGTTTTCAGACCAGGCGTTAATATCCGGTCCCACTTTCATTACTACAAATAATCCAGTGAACACAGTGACAAAACAGCAGCCAGTCACCTGGTGGATCAAATCCCTAGACATTTCATTGGGCAAAGGAAATTCATTATGGTATGTTTTTTCAAATGAGTCTTATGAGCAGACCTTCAAAAAAGGCATTTTGGAGCTAACTCCTGCTGGCTTAAAGGGAAGCAGGATTTCAGCCTCCGTGCCAAGACCCTGTGAACACACAGCCTGCCTCCAGAGCCCTAACCTTTAAATCCATGCCCATGAAAATTAACATCTCGCCCAAGCGCAACTGCCAGCACAGCAGCAAGAGGAGACAGAAGCTGTGTATCACCCAACATGGCAGATTTGAGCCTAAACCTTCCATTGCAGGCACAAAGAATTGTTAGAACCAGCTATGTGGCTGAAAGAACTTGCATCCTAGGTGAGCAAAGTGGTTAATGCACTCTTCCACCCAACAGCGTACAGGAGGACAACATGAAAGTGGCATGGCTGGAACAGCTTTGTGAAAGCAATACCCCGGGCAACCCACTGCATTTTATTGCTCAAGCTAAAATGTCAAGTCATAAAATGTCAAGGCAAGAAACCCCCCCCCCCCCCATCCTAATGCATTCTCAGTCAAACAGTAAGTAGTATTACTACCAGATCTGCATTAGTTTTCAAAAGTTCTGGGGACTTTCTGAACTTAGAGCAGCCATGAGGAGAAAAACTTGGGAGTGTTGGTGGACTAGAAGCTCAACATCATCCGGCAACGCATACTCACAGCTCAAGAAGGCCAACTGTACCGTGGGGTGCACGAAAAGAAGCACAGCCAGCAGGTCAAGGGAGGGGATTCTCCTCCTCTACTCTGCTCTCATGAGAGCCCACCTGAAGTACTGCATCCCGCTCTGGGGTCCCCAACATAAGAAGGGCATGGAGCTGTCGGAGCAAGTCCAGAGGAGGGCCACGAAGATGATCAGAGGGCTGGAGCACCTCTCCTATGAAGACAGGCTGAAAGAGTTGGAGTTGTTCAGCCTGGAGAAGAGAAGGCTCTGGGGAGACCTTATAGCAGCCTTCCAGTACCTAAAGGGTGCCTAGAGGAAAGCTGGGGAGGGACTGTTTACAAGGGCATGTAGTGATAGGGGTAATGGCCTTAAGCTGAAGGAGGGGAGATTTAGATTAGGTATTAGGAAGAAATTCCCACCATGATGATGGTGAGGCACTGGAACAGGTTGCCCAGAGAAGCTGTGGGTGCCCCATCCCTGGAAGTGTTCAAGGCCAGGTTGGATGGGGCTTTGGACAATCTGGTCTAATGGAGGGTGTCCCTGCCCATGGCAGGGGGGTTGGAACTAGATGATCTTTAAGGTCCCTTCCAACACAAACCATTTTATGATTCTATGATAGATCAAGTTTTAGCATACTTCAGTACAATACGTAATGACCACCTCATATTGCCAGAGAACAATCTGCAGCAGAGGAGTGAAAATGCTCAGAATGACACATCAGCAGCCATGACCGAGGATTCAGGAGCTCACAGTTCTCAAGCTGAGTTGCTCAATCAACCAGAGCTCTGCTTTGAAAGCAAACAACACAGATGAGCTGGAAATGGAAAATCATGCTGTAAAATGATGAGTCCTCAGACTATTTAAGCATCATTACACTCTTCAGTCATGTTTTGACTCAGCTTACAAAATGTCTCTTCCAGCAGCACATCTCCATCCTAAACTTGAAGTCAGCAACTTCACAAATATTTCATGCCTTGTGTATTTAACAATCATCACAAACAAGGAAAGCCTGGACTTTTGAGTTCATGGCTCTATGAAACCTCCACAGAAAGTCATCATTGGTTCTGTTAGCAAACATTTGGCTCAGGGTACAGAACAGAAAAAACCAAACTCACATGGTGCATGGAACATCACTAGCACAGATGAATGATCTTTTATAAACTTGTCGAAGTCCTCATCAGTCAGGTGATAAACTACATTTTCTTCATCCGCCCAAGGAGTCTCTGGAGCCTGTGGCTGAGGTGCCTGTGGGCTACAAGACAAACAGACACAGCTAAAGAGCAGCTCTCTGGTGCTAAGATGTCATTTTTGGCAAGTGAGACTACAAACAACCACTTAGTGCAGATGTCTGTATGGGTATGACACACTATCCATACTGAATAGCTTCCACAATTGTACCCACCCAGAACTCATAAGCACTGAAACTCAGATAAAACTGGAGGAGGACAAAAAAAAAAATCCACAAGAAGCTCATGCGGACAGATCAGTAATGGAAGGGGATGGAGCGAGGAGATAACCAGACTGCTTGGTTATTCCCTTATAGAAATCAGACACATTTTTCTGTTACTCCTTTACCCTCCTCAGCAGGATACTCCCTTTCTCACAGCATTCATACTCTGTAGTTCACAGGAGCCATTGCAAATATAAGAAAAAAGTAGTGAGCAGAAACAGTCAATCTAACCAGTCACCTTGAATACTGACACCACGATTAGGGCTGACAGAGAAAGGAGGTGGGGAAGTGTTGGGACCACGAGCTGGCTACACAGACCATTTCCTCAGGAATATACAGTTTTATCCTGAACAACACTATGACCTGGGGAAACATCGTTATGTCCTCACTCAGCAGTGGGTTTGTAGGCCCAATTCAGCAAAGCTACTCAACTGCATGCTTAACCTAAAAGATAAGTGACATGTTCTGCTGATTTCACTATGATTGCACATGAGTTTAACCATCTTTGATGGATCAGAGTCAGAAAGACCACTCAGACATGGTGGCAAATTTGGAAACTGAACCCAAGCTCCTCTGGACCAGTTCAGTGCTCATCATCCTGCCAAACAATTGTTCTTGGCTTTCATTAACGTACATTGAAAAGAGAATTTGGCAGCTGTGAACTAAACTATGCTAATTGACATTTTATTTATTAAAGCAATGTTCACATAAAGGACACCCAAACATATGAACATTTGGAGCCAGACTTTGAAGCTATTTTATCCTTGCCAGTTGTAGTAATGAGTTCCAAATACCCCCCAAATTCCCCAAATTCTTTGGCAAAGTAGAGGTCTGAATGTGACCCCATGTCTGGTGAAAGCAGATTTACTATTTTTGATTAAAATGTGTTATTGTGTTAGTTGCCTGGAACAAGGAATGGCAAACGGATGATAACTCATTTATCCTGTCTTGCTCATTTCTAGGCTGAAAGCCTAGTTTGATAAAAAAAAAGGCAGTAGAGATACACACAGATTCAGATAGGAAATTCTATTGATGTAAGCAATGGGTATGATCCAAGAATATTAAGCAATCCATGCAAAACTGTGATGCACACCTCTGCTGCTGCTTATGTGATAAATGAACCAAGAAACAAACATCAAAGCAAAGATTGGAGCTGCACTCGGCCAAGCAGCTGAAAGAGAAAAAGAGGCAGGTCCCCTTCCACAAGAGTTTACCCTCTAAAAGCTTAACAGATAATCAGTTTGCTTGTTGCCAAGCCTGTAAGAAAGCAATATTCTCCAGGTATCCTGGCAGAGCGAAGGCTTTCCAGAAAACACCGTGACAATGAATTTGGAAGGGGAGTTGGGTTGAGTAGGCAGAGCATGATGAACATGACACAGTGGCTACAAAGCACTGGGAAAACGCTGTGTTTAGCGGGGCCTGGCATGACCTATTTCAGTAAGGAATTAGTAAAGCAGGGCACAGGATGTTTATTCAAATGGCCCAATTTAAAATGCTGTGCATGCTAATAAGCCTACACAGGAGTTGGTAAGAAGCACCTCAAGGCCTGGAAGAAGCAACAAGCAAAGTCTAAAATGTCATTTAAAACTGAGACAAGGCACATCCAATGCCTGAAGACCAAAAATAGGATGACAGAAGTCTGGAAGAGTTATCAAGAGCTAATTCAATTAAGAACAGAGAACAAGTTCTTGATTTAACTGAGTAGCCGGTGCTAAGGAAGGGCCTGAGAGGAGTCTACAAAAACAGCAAGACAAACTAAGCAGCTACTGAAGGCAGCAAGAAGCTGCCTGAGTTGCCTACCATCCAAGCTGATACAGCTGTGTATCAGATTAAAAAAATAAAAAGGAAAAAGAATTGTGGTATGTACAAGATAGCATCTCCGTGTTAATAATGCTGTGTGCTGGAGTAAGGCTGTATGATGGTTTCTCTCTATCACCTCGTGAAAAACATCTGAAGCTCCCTAAGATAGTAGCTAGTGCCTATTAGGGAGATAAGAGAGGTTAAGTATCTGTAAGACTGATGCATTAGCACATTTCAGCATAAGAAAGAAGCACCTTCAATAAGTAGTAAAAGTGTTGGAGCACTCCAAACTAGCAGCTCTTGTTCTAAGAGAAAAGAACATGGAAATCATCCTTTCAATAATTTAAATAATTCTAACCTTTATTAAGTTATAGCACACCCTCCCCAAAAATTAGCACAGATCAACTACTCTCAGCACTTTACCAGTAACGTTTAGAGGGGAAAAAACAGGGAAGGGGGAGAGGGAAACCAGTTGTTTTACTGCACTGTATACATAGTGTCCAGAAAAAATAGGTCACTTCATATGGCTCAATGTCTGCTGGATTCTCTTTCAAGAATCTACAATGACAGCACATGCACGCACAGTATAAAAACGCATTGAGTTTCCACATACACTCTGGCACTGCTGTGCCCCTGCTCCACAGAGTAATGTCTGGCATCAGAATGACTTCCTGACATGACTTTAATATTATACTATTCTGAAATACAGCCTATACACCCTGCAACTATCTAATTACACTCTTTGGCTTTCCTAAAGCCCTTGCCATACCATTTGACTACTAGTACTGCAGATTCCTCAGCGTAATATAATATTATGCACAGATCAGATTTACCCTGTATATGGTTTTAATTGCAACATCAATTACTGGCAAAATTCAAGTATGCATAATTTCTCAACGTGCTTTCCTTAAAAGTTGTACTTATTATACAAAACAGGGGCAAGAAGGCTACTGCTTAGATCATCTTTTGGGAAACTAATCAGCATACACTAAGTGAGGACAAACAGCTGTCTAGCTCTGGACTGCCGAAATATCAGCCAAAGCCCACAGTGGCTTGTTAGCAGAGATTATCATTGGAAAGAGCTTGCAGCTGTTCTGCTTTGCCTCCAGTAGCTGCGTTCACTTGCTGTGACAGCACTGATATAAAGGCACTGCATATTACAGGGATTATCTGGATATTATGTGGGCAGACAGGGGAAAAAACCCACCCCAAACATCTAATGTTTCACATGTGGTAGCCACAAGATAACCACTTCCTTGCAAAACTGAAAAGCATAATAAAGTGCAGGTGATGAAGTCATATCCTTGCTCCAAGGGCTGATCATCTCCTCAGCATTGCTGGAATTGCGATCTTGATCATTCATATCTGAAGGTTTAATGGAATAAATGAGGCTTAAAGACTACAGCTAAATTCCTCCTCTTTGATCCACTGGGCAGTACTCGCCTGCAGTGTTTGTACCTCCTGATGTTAACAGGAACGCTGCTGTCACTTTGTTTGTGGGTTCCCAATCCTGAAGCACCTAGCCTACCACTGCTGAAGACCCTGGGCTGCCTGCAACCATATGCATGTCCCCAGCATAGCACCACTAGTACAGTAAAACATTTATTCTGAACTAATTTTGCTAAGCCATAGTATCAGAATAGTTTGCAACTCTCTGTTCCTTCCCATGCGTTTGTTTCCTTTTATTAGCTTCATTTCAAGATTATTTCTGTGGCTGCAGCAAACAAGGAAGGGTACAGAGATGCCATAATGCCCAAGAGCCAGGGCTAACTGCTAATGGTATTTCTCCATGATGAGACTTCCTCAGCACTCTCCAGCTGCTCTATCAGCTTCACTGACAATGTGCTGATTTGCAACAGCTGAAGAGCAACTATACACACACTCACTCACTTTTCTGCGTGTCTCTCAACTGCTAGTCCCATAGGCTCATTCAGACCCCAAAATAATTATGACTGCAAATAGCTCTCTTTAGGTAGAACAAGATGCTTTCAACACCGCTTCATGTCATGACAGGAAACACAGACTTTGTAAAAATGACTAGCAATCGGGGTGCCTTGATCTCCAATTTTGTCTCTGCAAGATACTCTAAGGGCTCCAGCTAAAGGCTGAAGAACCAATGAGAACTGTGCACTTGGTATATACATTTTTAATAGAACAACCAAAGTCAGACCTTTTGCAAGGTATTAAGTTCAGGCACCCAAGATCACTGGAAATTTAAGCTGGCATTTTTAATGAAGCTGAGATCTGTGTATCTGCATTATTTTGGTCCACAGTTTCCTATTACAGACAAAATGCAATTGTAAGATGCAAGGCATGCATGCTAAAAACCAAACATTAGGCAATCTCTCTGTACTAGTTTAGCCAATCTCAGCGGGATAGTTTTGTTTGCTCTTCTGAGCAGAGGGAAGGAAGGAGTGATGGCTGTTCCTAAACCATTACATTCTGTAAATAACGAAGAGTACATAAAAGGTGAAGTGCATGAAGTTCAATGCCTTACTTTTTCAGCCACTCTGCTATATCTGCCGCAGTAGCACCATAGTTCTCAAAGTGGAACAGGAACTTTCCTTTCCTGTTAAGGCAAGAAAACAAGGTTTAGTCCTTGCCCTGGAAGATAAGAACATGCAATGATAGTTGAGCGTATGATTTTTAAAAGTAGTGGCAAAGCATAACTGACTCAAAATAGCAGATTGTAGGATATCCCCGGACATTGTATTCTTCCTTTATCCTTTCAAATTCAGCAGAGTAAACATTCATCCCCGCAAGAACCTGAAAAAACAGAGCGTAATTGTATTGATGCTTGCAATACAGCAGGAACATTACAAACTTTTTAAAGAGTTAAGTAAAAAGAACTAAGTTCTGGGCAGATTTTTATTTCATTCATATTGCAGCAATGTAAAGTAAGGGGATCTCTGTAAAAGGCGGTGAAGTTTTTCTGATTTTGTGCAAAGGGCAACAGAGCAATATTTGAGTCTAGTCCACAGAAAGCATGCATCAATCAGCTTGTCACCTCCTCCTTGCTCTAGAAGTGTCTCCATTTCTTTTTATTCCCCCACTAACAGAAATACCTGAAAGGAATTCTCTCCATCGCACTACTTGTGCTCTTTGCATATTTGGATTTTAAGCTACAAGCCTAACTAGGGTTTTTTTTTCCATCTTCTGCAAATACATAGCTTAGTTTGCATCCAAACATTAGCTAGGACACAAGAATCTTCACCCTCATCCCTCTGGTTTCCACTCCAGCAATGAACTTACCATCTTGGCTAACGTCCAGAAGCTCTAACCAACCAAACACTGGCATTATCCCAGCTCAAAAATGCACTTACTGAATGGCAAGGGGAAATCAGCATTACTTTGATGTGAAAGTAAAACGTGCCCTATTTCCATGAGCCCAGGAAATTCCACGTGGCATTTATGCACTTTAAATATGTTTACCCTATTAGTCAGGTAAGTTTAATGAGAATTAAGAATTAACCTTGTCATACAGATATCAAAAGAGGGGCACAGAAGCATAGTAGCTTTTCAGACTAGCAAGTGAAACCAAAAGCCTCTCCTTCCCCTTCCTTACCTCTATCCCAATCCATCCTCTACCTCCAGAGCCTTCACCTTGAGCTTCAGGCTCAGGGCTCCTGCTACTTAACCTATGCCCTGTCCAATTATCCTCCAAAAAATTCTGACCTGAAAATTTGAAGATGGGACTGATTCTGAGCTTCTGTGGGTGTGGGATTCACACAGAAGTCATTCTGCTGTCAGAATGTTCAACCAGTGAGTTGCTGAGATACCACTTCATAATTAACTTAGTTTAATTTCATTGATGGCTTAAATCATTTTAGCAGCAGAGTCTTTATCCAAACCCCTCCTCCTTTGCCCTCCAAAATCAGTATTTTCTCCTTCCAGCTGAAATACCACATCAGAATTTAATACCAGGTTCCTGACTGCAGCAAACTGCACAGACCAACCAAATGTGCTCAGAGCCAGCATGAAATAAATCTTAAAGCAGAAAATCCTCGTTTGAAGGTCAACCTTTTCTAAGAATGTGCTGGAAAGCCACAAAAAGATACTTTGTTTTCTCTCCCCTATCCTGAGAAAGGATAAAGGAAAGCTAACTGATTAGAATACAGAAATAGGATTTATACTGGCTGGCCAAATCTCTTTCTTTGAATTTTCCTTGTAGTTCCAACAACCAGACTGATTTAGTTCACATGAGCTATCTAGACCCAATTCTCACCTTCCCTTATCCTCTATGTCACCAACTTGAGGGTAGGTAAACGCAATAGGATCAACACACTGTAGTTGCTTTATACAGTGAGAATCAGGTTCCTTAATTAATTCCCTCATAAACATCAGTCTACCATATTTCACATTGGCTGTGAACTTTCAGAGGATTTCCTGGGTTTTAAATGGGTGTTCCTGGCCATTTCTGATATTCTGCTACAATTTCACTGTGTCCACCCAGCCTGATACAAGATAATAACTTGGACTCATTCTGGTGTTCATACATCATATGAAGCATAATCAGCAAAACGCCTATGACAATGGGATTCATTTTTAATGACAAAACTAACAGCTTTAGCTGGCCTATAATCACAGAATTATGTAATATCAGGCTGTCAGGGACCATCAAAATACAGCTACTACCCAAAGCCAGGATCATCCCTCTACACCTAAGCTGCTCCTGCCAGCTGTTTAGCTAATTTGCTTTTAGCAAATGACTGAATGACCCTGACTGCAATTTAAGACCACTACCTCTTGTAATAGGCAGAGCAGACACAAAGATCAGTTTATTCCTTTCACCTCTGCAGTGAGATTTGACATACTTCAGCACTTACCTGCTCTCCACCATGCTACCTATAAACCTGAACTGACTCTGAACCTTTCCTAGCTGGCCACATCTTCTGGGCTTCTGACCATTCCTGTTCTCCTGCGATCCCTCCCTTGCTTCATAGTTTTCTTCACAAGATTTCTCCAAAATTGGTACCTCACACCACCAGCTGAAGCCTTTCTAGAGCCACGTTTAATGAACAGATTAAACAATGGCTTCCTTTATCTGATATCTGAAATAAGAGCAGGAACTTTACGCTTTTGAAGTCTTGTGATTTTACCAAAAGACAAGTGTCAAAGGAGAAAAGCACTTGAGCATAAGATTAAGGCAGTCCTTACTAAAGCACTCTGGCACACTCATGGAGTCCATGGGCATTAAGGAGATGCTGAAGTGCTTTGCTGACCACCAGTTCCTCCCTCACTGGGGTCATAGCGTATCAGTGACAGTCACTCGCCAGAGCCCACCCTATCCAAAACCACAGGAATCTCTTGTGCCAAGGATAAAATAAGCCATCCTCTTGCGCTTCAGAGCCTCTTTTTTCCTTCTGCATTGGGTGTAATGGAATTGCAAGATCTAAACCAAATGTAACACTGCAAGAGCCACCGTGCCTTCCTCTCAGTAACAGTACTGGGCCAAGAAACAACCAGTCCCAAGAGAACACAGCAACCAATGACAAGTTCAATTCACCTTTTCATTTTTACAACCTATTAAATAGGCAATACTGTACTTCATTTTCCTGCTATATAATAGCAATAATCGCTTTTGAGCCTGGCACATCCTGACAGCTAATGACAGGTCAGATTAAAAGGCCAAACCTTCAGCTCATACAAACCAATCATAAACTTTCCAGCAAAGTCTGATCTGGAGGTCAACATCACTCTAAGGTACCCCATGGATAATTTATGATGAGTACAGCACAGTTAACTTTAGAAATGGCAAACTGTGTACACATCCCACTCAGGAAGCTAACTAGGTCAAATTTAGACAAGCAGACTGGTTTTTCTGAAAGACACGGGTGGCAGTGGCATAACTGGACTTTCCTCTGAACTGATCCTGCACTAAAAACACTCCAGTGCAAAAAGCATCCCTGACCTGCCAGCCTCAGAGCTGTGCCACAGCCCTGTCACTCCGCTGTGCAGGATTAGCCTGGATCTACAGAAACCATTTCCTAGTGAGGAAGGAAATAATCAAACTAGACTAGATCTGGAGTTTCAATCCTCCAGTCTGAATTTAATAAAACGAGCTGCACATGGACAAGGAAGGGATAATTGGAGGAGAACACAGCACTCTGCAGCATGCCTTCTCTCTGGCACTACCTCTGTAGATGATTCTTTACATTCCTAATTCCCGCCCACCCCACGCCTTGCAATGTACCTGCCATGCAACATAGGAGTGCCTTCCCAAAGGCTGCAACGCACGCTCCACCAAGGAGAGATGGCATTAGAGTGCTGCCCAGCTAGATGAAAATGCTCTTGAAAATATCTTCAAGGGGTGTACCGTGCCCTAAATAAATTTGAACAACTCCCACTCATTTCAGCCCTAAGCAAACAAGGATTTAGAGAAAACACTTCTGAAAAACAACTAGTTGCAAGAACATGGGGGAGTCTGACAGTACTCGGTGCTACGAGTAGCAATGGCCAGAGCTGCCCAAGTGATGAACCACAGTGCTTCATCCTTTCCTCATCACGTGCCGCCTCTCCCAAGGAAACCTGTAAACTCAACAGTAAATGATCCAACAGGTGGGATCAGACCAAATCCAGCTAAAGCCATCAGTCAACAATCCTATTTCTTTGTCACTCATGTATTATTGGTATCATATAAATTATACATTAAACACATTATAAAACCTTGACTTAAAAAGTGCCTTCAGCTTGCTTAGAGAGATCAATATGCCTTATTGGTACAAACAGGCAACTAAATTATTGTGACTGTTGTTGATGAGTTTTATTATGGTCAAAACTAATTTTCATTTCAATCTAGTATGAACGCTAACTTTGTTGACAGAGCTATATTAAAACTATAAGATTTTACTAATGTTTACAGTTAGTGGCTAGGAGGATGATCAGTAGCAAGTGTAAGGAAATCCCCCTCCCATGACACTGATTCTCCACTAAAAAAGTGGATTGCGTATTACTATAAGGGCATCCATCCTTAATCTCTCTGTGAAACATCAGGCCAAAAACCCAATCAAACCCATCATGGCAAACGTTTCTTTATCTGTACCAACATGAACTCAAACTCACAAATTAGAAGCTAAACATAAAACTACGCAGTGTCAGAGACCATTTTTCCATGGCAAGAACTACACTGGATTTAAAGGGCAAATGAGTTAATACCTCATTCTCCAAAGGTTTAAAAAGAATAAAAACCAAGAGAGAATCCTGAAGGGATCTGGAACAGAGTCATTCATTTCTGTTTTATTTTGACTTGTTTAAAGATTCCCCACTTCAATAAGTATTGGTGATTTTTAAATACTCAAAACAATAAAGTATTAAAAGGATTTTTAAAATTTTACATAAGTCTTATCTTCTCACTTACATATTTACCCTTCAGTTCTGTGGCTGCCTGCTGGTAAGATGGCATCATTCTCTTACAAACACCACACCCTAACAAAAAAAGAAATTGTGTAAGTAATGCACCAACTCTATTCAGACTATTCTACAGGATCTATGTTCCAAAGCATATGAAACAACTTTTTTTTAATACAAAAAAAAATTAAAACAAAATTCCTTACCTATTTCACTAAATAATTATTAGATTATTTTTTTCTAAGGATGTAACTTCTTGTTACGTGCAGCTATTTTTGCATGTTTTTCATGCTATTCATTTTCATTATCATTTATCATCCCAGTTTTGGGGAGTAACACCATCTTATATGCCTCAGGCTCTGAGCTGAGTCCAAAGGGGAACTTAAGATGAAACTCACATTTCAAAAGTCAATGGAAGATGTCATGCTTGTGAACTCAAACAAAAAAAAAAAAGCTTTGTGTGTTTCTGGTCTTTAAGGGACAGAGGGAGGTACTTCAGATTCATCCCAGCTTAACAAGTCTTTGAACTTTGTTTGAGACATTTCCTAAACACATTAAACAGACATCAAAAGGTACACAGTGCTCTGTTAATTGAGAAGACATAACTCAAAAGAAGCAACAGCCCTTATAAGATACAATAACTTTACGTGCTGAAGAAAAGACAAACGGCAAGTGAGGAAGACTACCAGTGTATAGCTGGAGTATGCTAAGAGCTGCTGATGACGCTCTGGAGCACTAAGCAGATTAGCACTAAATCACCTTGTAAGCAGCAGGTTTCACCCCGCCAAGGAAAACACGTGCATGCACATGGGAAGGGGTGGGAGCACAGACAGCACGAAAGCAAGCAAGCAAGCTGCGGCCAAGCACTTCCACTTTTTGTGGAAATGCTTGGGTCCAGCATAGGACAGTAGTCAACATTTTTATTCTGGTGTAGAGACAAGAGTTTTGATAATATCTTCCAGAAAGAAGGAACTGATTTTGCAGCTACTGGGTTAGGATCACATCAGCATGCCTGGGAAGAACATCCTTAATCAGAGGGACGATAGCTCTTGTTTCTGTGGTCTTTCCACCTTTGACCTCTCTCCTCAAATCGCCAGTGAGGTTGTTAAGCTAGTGCTTGTCAAAATGACAATTTCTTGGTGGACACAGACCACTCATTTGAGGCTCACTGAGGTCTTGCAGCTTCATCCAAACCACTGGACAGATATCAAAAGATAGGAGTTGTTAACATCATCTTTTGGATCCTGTTTCTTCTCTCTTCAGCAGCCTCAAGCCTTGAACTCCTTCAGCTATCGATCTCTCTCTCTTCCCCTCTTCAACCTACTACGGGTCCCTGGACTTCCTTCTGGAGCACAGGCATGTACCAGCCGCCTGCACCCAACCATCACCCCTACAGCCCTTTCATTCCCAGCTCTGCTGCTGCCTCCACTCACTGCTCCCAAACCCACTTCAGTAAAACCTCTCCTGCCCACGCGTTTCTGGTTTATACTGTTCAGGATGCTGTCAAGCCACATATATCCCTATAGAGGCATAAAAGGGTAACCTCAAAAACCCCCTCATTTTCTTCTGTTCTTTCTTCTTGTATTTTGACTCAAAAGGGCAGGCTTAATTAAACACATAACTAGTGGAAATACTAATAACACCTCAATTTTGAAAGCCCTTTTTTCAATGACATTATAAACAGCTCCTTTCTGTTGCCAAATGCAAACTGTCTGCTGCAGGAGTCTTTGACAGTTAAATAAATCTGAATGCCTATAAGTATGCCTGATTTTTCATATTTAGTGCTGTCTAACTTTATAATATAGGTCCAAAAGTACAGCAAACGGTCTCCAAATGGCAGGTAATATCTTCTAAGGAAAGCATGCCTTTGCTCTCAGTCATTTTACCCAGACCAAGCATTCCTGAAATATTAAAGAAACTACATTTAAGTTTGCAGTCACTTTCATCTCCCTCTGCACTAGCACGTATTATTCATTTCCTATGAATCTGCCACAATTAATCTAAAGCCCCTGCTTCCAACAGAGCAGAGAAATAATGCAGCTGTCTTCTCTGTAGCTTCCCAGACAAAGCCTCTGATGTCCTCTCGTGCCAAAGACCTCCCTGACTCACCCCTTGCAAGTAAAGCAGAATTTCCTTTAGTGACCAGCCTTGATTTGCTGCTCCCAGTTTTGAAAGGTAACACCTGTATGTAAGGAACTGGTAACTTCAGCTGCCCAAAGCCAGTATTTTAATGCAACTGCTTGATGTATTCTGTCTCCAGTAACACGACTAAGAAAAATTGGACAAGATCCAAGTCAGAAGGTCTCGTGTGCTAAATAAAAGATGAGGGAGTTAAGAACTGTGAAATCAGAGGGGAGAAAAAAAACAAACTTACAAGGAGGCTTCCTTCACAGCAGTTTAGAAAGCAGCAAAAGTATTACAGCACTGAAGACTAGCAGGTGTTTTGCCACTTCAAAAGAAGAAAAACTGGAAGGAGGAGGGTTTCTGGGGGAACGGTTCAAAGAGAACGAAGGGTTAGATAAGGCACATTTCAGGAAGAGACTCAGTTGTGGAAAACAATTATTCATGATACAGGTAAACTGTGAAAGCACTCTGCAGCTGAACTCTCCCTGAAGGGGTGATTTACAGGCAGAGCAGGTGTATCGTCTCCCGCTGATGCTAAGGCAGCAGCACTGACTCAGAGCAACCACGTGCTATGCTGGGCCATGCAGGACCATCCTGCTGCAGAGTCTGAAGGCATGGAGCTGCAACTAATTTAATTAAAGGAAAAAAACACCCTCTTACTGATGCATCAAACCAAGTCTTGGGCAATTCCAGCCACCTTGGCAGTACTCAGATGAGACTAAAAAGGTAGAATGGTGTTTCAGGCAGTAATTACAAGAGAAAATACACTGAGAAACACCAGATAATGCTGCCACAGGACACAGTTTTAAAGAGACTAGGCCAACAAATAGCTACTGGTACCTAACATCAATTTCCCTATCAGGGCAGCGCTGGGCAGCATTTCTAGCTTAGGTCACACATTCACTCCTTTCTCATGGTTCCCCCTGCTTTCCAGCTGAGCAACAGCTCCAATGCAACACTATCTTGTTTTGAAGAGCTCGAAAGCCTCTCATATACCAGGCATCAGGAAACACAAAAAAAGCAGTTGTAAATCTGCAAAATTAAGGAACAATCAGCCAATGAATGACAAGATAGCTGCCATACAAAGTCGAAGTCACAAAAGAAATGCAATGACTGCAATGTGCTCTTCTCTTTCCTTCGTGCCATGAAATCCCACTTGCACTCAAGTTACTCCTGGCCATGTGGGTAGGAACACCCAGGGTGCCTCCTGGATGGAGCAGGAAAGATATTCCTGCTCCTGACCACCACGTTGTTCCATCTGTCTGCAGTTAGAAAGAACAAATACGTTGGGTTTTTTCAACTCCATGGTCTCCTCTGGGGATCTTTTGCTTGTGTTGAACCAACTTGTCTTATGCCATGGCCCGAACTGCAAAGGTAAAAAGCGTGTGCAATACCCATCTGCACTTACAGCTCCGTACGGGTCAGAGGGCTAGGCACTCTCAGACAGATGTATTGACACTTATGCACTCAGCATACAGTGTTTCTGTCTTGTACAACACAAATCTAGACAGGACAATGGGTAGAGAAATTACAGAAAGCAGCTGCTTAAAAGAACAATAAGCAAGTCATCATCACAAGATAAAGAGGCAAGACTAGGATACAAGCGATGGACAACTAGGGGAAAATTGAGGACAAACAGGCAGAACGACAGGAGTTGTTGAATGATAAAGATGGGACAAGATGGCATTAGTGAAGCTCAGATGAGGCTTCTGCTCAGACTTGGACATTTCTCAGCAGAGAAAGAGGTGAAAGGTGACAGGGCATGCTGAGTTACTTACATGGCGCATAAAACATCATCAGAAGGGGTTTGTCTTCCTTCTTCAGAAGCCTTCTCAATTCCTAGGGAATGAACCAAAAAAAATAAAACCAGACCTATACTCAAGGACACCTCTTATTATCTGTGTTACAACTTTAAAGTGTAATATATGTATTCATAGAATACAGGCTCATTTATCTGAGGGAAGAGAGGTCACCTTTCCTAACAGACAACACTTGAGTTTCTTCTCCTTGCTCAATTTTAACTCGAAAGAAGACAGCAAAATTTACTACAGATTTGAGTATCTGCTAAATATCCTAGACCAGTGTCTTCACTGTTCAGACATGGAAGTTGCATGGCTTGGTTTATTCTCACTGCAGAATCTCTGACTGGAAACGTTTTCTTCCCTGACCCATACAAAAAGCCATTCTCTTAATTCAAAAAGTCAGACTCAATAATAAACAAACCAAGTTCAGTTTCCACACTATGAAACCCTGTCAGAGCTATGAGAAGCCATGAAAATAGATTTTTCAGTACCAGCATCATAGAGAAACCAGATGAAGTTTTCAAATTGAATGCAACCATTGGAAGGCTTGTAATAGAGTACAGAGGGTGAACATTAAAAATTAATCTTTCTACAAAAACTGAATGTCAAAATAACTGTTTCTAATATTAAAAATGAAAGCTAGAAAATTGAAAAGGCCCTTTACAAAATACCAGCTAGAGCCCAATCAATTAAAGTTTTAAAAATCTATAGACTAGAAAACTAATACAAAAGACCAAGTTGATTATATTAGATAGCAAATAATGGGTAGCTCTGTGGTGGCACTGGATTCTTAAGGTAGTTTCACTGTATTTGCTGTTCTCCCACTTAACACCAAGAGGACAGTTACTGTACAAGGTTAAATCACTTAAGATCTGCATCCTGTTCCTTCCTGCTCCAGACTTCCTGAGACAACCTCGGGCACATGAAGGAACCCAAGGTTCAATGACAACCTGCAGTTGCAAGAGCAGCATTTTATGTCCTACTTGTATCCTGCAGTGACTGCATCTTGCAAGCTGCTACACTTGCCCGAGACAAACAGAAATCTTCTGCCACACCATCCACAATGCTTTGATACTTGCTGTGTAGCTGGCAGACTAATACCATGGCCACATGTAGGGGAGAGGAAGGTGGAAAGCAGGAGACTTTATAGTTATGACAATTCACAAACTTTATCAAGTCACTTGAAACAGTTTGGGTGCTTTAAACTTCCCTTCCAAAGAAAGGAAATAGTGGTGCTTCATTAAGAATTAACAAATATACACACTCCCTTCATCTCCTATTTATAAAACATATAGAACATCTATCCAGCTAATGTACCTTTTCACTGTCAACATGCACAATATCTTTGGCTTCGGGATCCTCCTCCCACAGTGGAGCACCTTCTGGATCCTTGAGAAAGGCCACCACAGATGGGAAAGAAGCTTTTAAAGCAAAATGAATGGAAACCATGAGACATCCAATCTCAAATCCATGCTGTCATGCAAACCCCATCCAATTAGTGCCTTTGCTTTTCTACTCATATAGTCATCTGCTCTAGTGCAGATGAACACAAATCTCCTATTGCAGAACCAAGCGATACACGAGTGTGTACCTTCCTCGTAACTGGTATCCCAACTTACTAGTTCCCATTTCTACTATAAAACTGGGGAAAGCAGCATGGAAGTAGACCAGCATACACACAGTAGCTTCTAGGATCCTTCAGAGAACTCGTTTCAATGGTACCAGATCTGCAATACTTCCACAGCTACTCCCTGGCTTAGCAGGAAAGATTTCTCTTTAGATAGAGGTCAGATTCCCATGCCCTTCACCATATCTGAGTAACTTTCAAATCCAATAGGAGTAGTTGGAAGGCACACTGACACTCGCTGTGAGCAAAAGCAATGAAGCTAACACTTAAATATCAAACTGCTTATTTGGTCAAAAGAAGAATAATCCACCAATAGTTCCCTCTACGACCCATCTACCTAGAAACTGCACTCGGTGGATTTTTTTTTTTGTAGGACAGTAAGAATCAAAGGTGACAACACAAGTGGGAAATATGAGACACTATGATTTTGCAGCTCCCATATTCAACAAGCTGAATACACATGCATGAATATTTTATAACTGCTTTACCCAACTGACACACAAACAATGATTTCAGCAGACCACAGATATTCTCTTTATCATAAGGAAATACTCTCTGATAGTTCTGATTTCAGCCTAAGCCTGAGGGAAACTCCAGGCCTCCAAAGTTAATGAGACACTCTCCATGGATTCCAGCAGAGAAGCACTGCCCCCATTTCCAGCTGTACATGGAAGCACAGGCTTGATCACTGTTATCCTCAGATGTCTGTGCTCTAGGAAACATAAGACTTGGTTTTCTGTGTTCATTCATCACTCAGACTGACCCCATTTCTTTCTCTGTGGCACAGCTTGTAGGTACGTGTCCACTCCCAGGAAGGGTCTCTGCCACACCAGTAACACAGTGAGGTCCCTGAAGAGCTTCCTTCAATGTAAGGGTGAGTGGATGATGCTGCCACAGCACTAAGTGAACTTACTTTGAGGTGGAGCAAAGAAAAGCTTCATTAAAGCTTCTTTCAGTCCATGGCATATTTTGCCAAAGCAGCTCATGACTGAAGAGCAGAGCTGAGTATATATGAGAACACGTCAAGAGCATCCATCGAAAAGCCTAGGTTTTTACTCCACCTTCTCAAGAGCAGGTTAGCAGTATGCCTAGTGACACATGCCACTGAAACAGTCTCAGAGACACTTTTGCCACCTCTCTGCCTTTGGTAGGGCTGCTCTGGCACAACATCCCAACAGCTTATCAACAGATAGTGGAGTTCAGCTCATTTTCCTGCATCTTGGTACTGCAAGGCTCAGGAGGATTCAGAGCTTATGGGAGGATCCATTTATTGCATTTATGTTTCTGTCTACTCGCACAGCTAATATTGAAGAGATTTGTCTTATCACAAGAGGAAGCATATATTAGTCACTAGACAGCAAGCAAAGTACTCAACATACACAGTAAGACGACCTAAGGGATGAGGTGGTAGCATTGAGACCACAAACACCTCAAGGAAAAGATTTGTTTTAATCAGAGAAAGGAGCTAGCTAGGGAAAAAAAAAAAGAAAAATCAAGTCATAACAGAGTTACAGTTGTAAAAAGCTCTAAAACTACAGGCATTAACATCCCAAATGATGCCCTAAGAAGACTTAATAATATATGGGGAAAGGAGAGAGAAGAGGACAAAACAGGGGAGATGTTCTACATTTAGGAAAGCTACATCAAGTTCTGCTCGCTCTCAGTCTGCACAGACTTCAACTGTACACTGGAGGGGAGAAGAGAGGGGTCAACTTTTTAAACAGCTAATGAGTGCGATTGACTCTGCTAGTTTCAAGAATTCCTGCGTGCCAAGTTCAGTCATGTAGAAACAGATGTGGTTAGAGTATGGGGGATTAGAGAGATTTAATTCATCCAGCCTCTCCCTCTCAGCCAAGAGAGAAAAAATTAGATGTGTAATGTCTTCTGGCAGGAGCAGGCAGTATATTGCCTTGTACTCATTACTCCACGCGGTGAAGAGAATTTCCTGTGTGCCTTTAAATAGGAAGGACGCTCCCCAAAACACACTGCAGCACTTTCTAATCACAGAAAAGCAGCGGTCCCCAAGCTGCTGGGTTAGAGACCAGAGCAAGGTCCAGGCCACCACAACCCCCACGTTGAAAAACGAGCTACAATCCTGTCCTGCCATGATGTGGTCAGGATCCACTTTGACCCCATGGCACCAACAGAGCCACGATGGGCTGTAACTCACCACCCAAACCCCGGTGACAGCTTTGAGCCTTAAACATAGATTCAGCAGAATACAGGACATGGCATCATCCAGCCTATGCTGCTCAAAGCAAGCAAGTTTTAACAGCACAACAGCTGGCTATCATATATGAACCTAGGTTTTAACCTGAAAAAAAAAAAATACAGAAATGCATCCCTGTACTTTTCACTCCTTTGAAGTATAATGCAGTAGGGATGCTAATAAAAAGACTTCTCTTGATTTCACACACACACTCCTTACAACAGCGAACTTGAAAAGGATTCAGATTTTAGAGCAGGACCAATTTAGTAGGTTAGTCTATTCCCTTTGCTAGTACTGAGCAGATTTATACTTTAATGAGTTTTGTTCATTTTAGAAGGAGAGTAAAACTCTCCCTGTACTTTATCCTCCAGAAAAGGCTTCATCATGTAATAAACACAGCCTGGATACTGGCCTTATGGCACTATTGGGGATTAGGACATGGTGTGGCTAAAGCAACCTACAGACAGATGTACCAGATAAGATCAAAGACTGATCTAAGCTTAGGTCTCCAACAGCAGCTGACTAGATGCTTGGGGAAAAACCGTATTAGTACCATTCTTATATAGCATACACTGGTATATGCTCTCAATTTCTGGCAAAAAGTAATTAAGTTTATGGACTCCACACAGCTGTTTTATTTGGACCTCTGTGCTTGCTAACTATCAATGGATCTATCCTTTATGACTATCTAAAACTGTTTTTAACACTCCTAAATTCTTGGCTTTCACAACATGTAGCTGCAAGTTCCACAACTTTTTTCAAACACTGCAGTTACGTGTTTCAAATCAGCCATCCCAAAATGCTACTATTTGCACCCAAGTTTGGAGGAAAAAAAAAGGTAATCATTCCTTTTTTCAAGCTACTCACAGTCATACAAATATCTACTGTGATCTCCTCCAGTTGTCCTTTTTTCCAAGCCCAAGAATCTTCACGTAAATATTCAAGCTATCCATGCCTCTGATCATGCTCACTGCCCTTCTGCAGTACTTCTACACCTTTCACTTGATGCGGCAACCAGAATCACAAACAAGACACAAGATGAAGGAACTCAATGGACTCAGATGGTGGAATAACATTTCCTCCTCCATTCTCTGTTCCTTTCCTAATCATTTGACTTTTAAATGCTGTTAAGCACAGGGCCAATATTTTCAAGCCAACTGCTGTCTTGACTGGTAATTCAAAACCCATTACAAGAGCCTGCATTACTCCAGCATAATTGGAGCTGTGTCCTTTCCTTCCCTCTTGCGTTCATTACTCAGCAAGTTCCTAGTTTGATATCGATAAGCCACTTGGTATTATTGCAAGAACCTAAACCCTTCTGCCAAGAGTCGGGAAATATTTTTTAAAACTTCCTAATAATTTTGCATCACTGAACTTTGTTACGTTGCAGTCCACCTCTGTTTACCAGATACCTCAAACAGCTCAGATCCTAACACAGGTCTCAGCAGCAGGAGGTTCTGACTGCCAGCTAACTTCCCCCAACTGTGAATGCTGAGCTATCCTTTATTCCTCTTTTTTCTAACAGTAAACCCACAAGGGCATCTCCGCTAATTACATAAGGATTTAGTTACTTTAAGAAATGAAAAGCTTTTCTTAAAAACCCAAGTACACTATCAGCTGGATAAGGCACATCTATGAAATTGCCGATTACTTCATAAGAATCCTTCTACAGTTCCTCAGAGCTGTGTCCATCATTCTCCAAAATGTCATACATATATTAATATGTCTGCTGGATGCCTGGAAACAAGATCCAAGTTTTATTGCCACAAGCTTGCTGAATGATGTGAAACAAATCCTTTAATCTCCCTGTTCTTCAGTGTGTCCACCTGTCCGTAAAATGGGTATGATACCCTACGTAATTGTGTTGCTCTGCTGCTCGCTGTTCGTAATGTACTGGGAGACTCCTGACAAACACAGCTGAGCGAGAGAAAGGTCACTGCCTCAACAGAAGAAAACAGGGAGAAGTAGTGGTATAGAGGGAGAAATACAGAAAATATTCAGGCAGTTGCGAGCAGAACAAGTAAACACTCAGCTGAGTTATGTGACCAGTACCCAGGTCTGATGCACTCTCCAACCTGTAAATCATTAGCAGCTGGTTTCACAGGGGCAGTCAAAATTAAGACTAGAGCTCTGTGTTGGTTTTGCATGGCAAGGTTTTG